TTCAAAAAAAAAAAAAAAAAAAAAAAAAAAAAAAAAAAACAAAAAACAAAAAAAAAAAAAAAAAAAATCAACAAAAAAAAAAAAAAAAAAAAAAACAAACAAAAAAAGCATAGGTTCACAGCCTGCCGTCGGCTCCGGGGGGAATCTCCGCCCTCGCCTCCGTTTTTTTCGGCCCCCTGGCCCCGTCCTTCTGGGCGGGAGAGAAACGGGGCGCCCTCCGGGCCACCGCAACCCCGGATATCCTGCTGGGCTCGCCAGGTCACCTTTCCAATTGCGGGGACAAAGCGAGATCTAAAAAAAAAATGCATCAGAATAAAGAGTCTATGATGGAAATCTAAGATCAAGTAAAATAATAAAAGAACTGACAAGCAACAAAGAAAGAGTAACTGTTGAAAGTGAAGGACCAAGAAGATGATCTTCAGGGACGACTACGCCCCATTGACTTCGCCAGAGAAGCCGCCCCCGGCAGGTCAATTCTTGAATCTGTTCGAGGGCCACCCCTGGGGAAGTCCAGGCTGGCGATGGGATTTCCAGCGGGCGGCCTGCGCGCGGCGCGACATTGGGGGGGCGGTCGGGGCGGGCGCGAGCAGCGCCAGGCGCCGGGGCCCCGGTGGGAGGAGCGGCCAAGGTTTGCGATAGAGGTCGCGCCGCGCCGCCGACGGGCCCGCAAAATTTGGCGCCCGCCCCCCCTGGCGCCCCAGTCCTTCACCGACGGAAACATCGACTTCGAGTGGCGGCGCGGGGCGGCGACGACGACGAAGAAGGACGAGCTCTGGAAGCCGGCGAAGTGGGCGAGCGAGGAGGACATCGGGCACATGAAGAACCGCGTTCTGGTGTTCATGGCGCAGGCGCGCATCCCACGGATCACCGACACGCACAAATGTGCGCGCTGCATGTGCCGGTGGATCCGGGACGCGGCGTCCGCCGCCGACTGCGACGCGGGCCTAAGGGCCCACCTGGCCCCCCCGGCGCCGTCCTCGTCGGCGGCCCCCGGCGCGCGCGGCTTGGGCGCCTTGTGCGCCGCGGCGCGCCTGCCGGAGGACGCGAGCTCCGCCATGCTTTTCGATTTGCTGGCCACGGGCGCCGTCGACGTCAGGGAGCTGGGCGGCCGAGAGCGGCAGTCCCTGGCGGCGCGGGCCCCGTTGAAGCCTCTCGAGCGGCGCCGACTGGAGTCGGTTCTGCAAGGGGGCGCAGGATTGCTGGCGCTCTCGGCTTTACTGAATGAACGGGTGGCTCGTCGTCCAGTCCCGAGAGCGATGGAGAGCCGGGATCGCACATTTGCAAGGGCGCGCTCAATCGCGCGCGCGTCCACGCGAGAGGCGCGCGAAATAAACATCATCGCCAACGCCATCCGTCATCGCCACCGTCGTCGCCTTGCCCCGCGCGGGAATGACCCGCGGGGCCGTCGTCGTCTTCTCCCCCCCTGCTCTGCACCCGTCCTCCGGCCCTTCAACCCTCGTCGAAATTGAACGCAATTTGTTCCACCCGCGTCGCCCCCAAATTTCAATGTTCATCGACAGGCGCATCGCGGCCGGCGTGGTCCGAAGAAAATCTCGAAGTCGCCGGCGCCCGCGCGAACATTGAAATTGGGGGTCGGGGGGCGCCGCCAGGTGGCGGCTAAAACTTGCGTTGAATTTCGACGAGGGATGTTCACATTTGTCTTGCGACGTGTGTGTGTGTGTGCGCGCGTGTGTGTGTGCGTGTGTGTGTCTGCGTGTGTGTGTGTGTGTCTGTGTGCGTTTGTGTGTGTGTCTGTGTGTGTGCATGTGTGTGTCTGTGTCTGTCTGTGTGTGGTGGGTGGGTGGGGTGGGGTGGGGTGTGGGGTTGGGCTAGTGGGGGGGGCTCGCTTGGTGGCGCGACCCGCATTGCCGATCCGCCCGGAGATTTCCTGCCCTACCGTAGTTGCTCACTCTGGCTCGCAGATCCGCGGCCGCGCGGCTCCCATGCGCATCGCGCTCACCCGCGGGCCCGCCCGCTGGACATGGCCCCGAAGCTCAACCCGAAGCGCGTTCAGAAGCTGGCCATGAAGGCCAAGAGGGCGCCGCCGCCGCCCCAGGGCCACCTGGACGCGTTCGCGCGGGGGGTCCTTTTGGGCATGCACATGGCAGGGATGCCCCGCGCAGACATTGTCATGCGCGTCGAGAAGCCGGGCGGCGGCGCCGCGCCAGTGAACGTGGTTGACCGCGCCATCGCGAAGAAGAAGGCTTCGCCTGAGTGGCGCGGTGAGGAATCTCCAGGCGACCGCGCTGGCGCCGGGCGACACACGGCGGCGTCTGCGGCGACGCGAGCCACCCTCCTCGCGCTGGTGTTCCAGGAGCGCGGGGGCTGCAAAGTGACCGTGAGCTTCTGCAAGAAGAAGTTCCCAGCCCTTCGGAAGGTCAGCAACTCCGCCGTGGAGCGCTATCTACACGCGGCTGGACTGCAGTGGTTGACTCGGCGATCGAAGTCGCGGGCCCCTCCTGAGCACAAGATCCAAAGGATCTCGTTCGCAGAAAAGGTG